AGCCATTCCATCAACATCTCAGTATCAGGTATGCTTTCAGGTATATTTTATTCTTCATCAGCATTAAAATATAAAATAATAAAATATGAAGTGTTAATTCTGTCTACTATGTATCATTCCCTAAAGACATGTACCAGGGGATTGAAAACCCTGATAATAATGATAAAAATGCAGGTGAGAAGCTTTATTTGTCAGAAAATCACTGCCAACATTTTCGTGGATGCAGTTTAGCACGACTGATCTGGTGATTCTGCTTTTGTAGGAACAACACCGAGCCCTGATCACAATGAGGATAAAAACTGGAGGCCATACTTCTACATTTGTTTTGGTATAGTGCTTCTTATTCTCATACTGACTGCCCTCATCTTCCTGAGTTCTTGTGACTGGAAACGTAAGAGCACTAATTTTTATTTTGGATGGTTGAAACTGATTTCATTGAATTTACCGTCTAAAAATGGGTAATTTATTTATTGGCTTTTCTACAGGAGTGCTGACCTTAAACTACGTAAAGGGAGAGGTAATGTTGGTAATATCAAAATATATTTTTGGGATATTTGGGGGGACAAAAAGTATTATTTATGCACTGTTATTTTGTTGTAAAGCACTTTGTTATCCTTGTCTTGAAAAGTGCTACATAAGTAAAATTTTACTTACTCACTTTTGGAGCCAGCGTCTAATGGCACCTTGAAGAAGTATAATTTTTGACTTTTTTTTTCAGGGTACTTTTGGTCTAACAACAGGCTTGAAAATAGGAGAACCCGTAGTTTCACTCACTGATGAACAATTTCTTTCTTTTTGTTTCAGTTTGAATGTTTTTATAGGCCATAAAATAAACAAGTAATACAGTATATAACATTTTGTGAGCCTCTGACAACCTGGCAGGCTGATTTTACTTGTTTTCTAAGCTAATTATCTTCCACCTTGCTTAAGATTTATTGTCATGGGAGTGTCGAGAATTTTTTTTACTAATATATTCTAATATATGTTTAATATATTCTCATTTTGGTGTTTTGTGCCACAGGAAATGCCCACTCTTATGATACCAGACCTCCCTAAATGGAGCCCTCCTTCCACTCCTGTCCCACTGACCAACTTGTCTGTTTTAAATGACATCTATTCATCATATACTCCAGAAAGATCAGTATCACCAGCTTCCCAGACCTGTTCGAACCAGATTTCAGCTTCAAATCCAGCACTTAAATATCAAGACTGTGAAGTATATGGTATCATCAAACATAGACACGCTACTAAACAGGGTGGAAAATATCACACCATGACTAACCAAGTTAAAACCCCTGAGTCTTCTTTTACTGCTGAAAGACCAGAATCACCAGCTCGCCAGCCACATGAGTACCAGATTTCAGCTTCAAATCCAGCAGTCAGAAATGAAGACTATGCAACGTATGCTGTCATCAACCACAGCAAACCTGCTGGAAAACGGCACACCGTGACTAACCAACTTAAAAACCCAGAGTATGCTGTCATCAAATTTTCCTGAGTGTTGTTGATTTGAAATGGACACTTGCAGATGAAAAAGTGGAAAAATGTTTTGCAATATGTGGTGGAGTCATGTGATGAAACGTACAGCTGTACAGCCATACTGCAGAAGATATGAATGGAGGAAGCTTGTGGTTCTCTAAGTGAACTGCATGTCTTCTAGAGTTATCGTGACTAAACCGGAAGCAGCAGCGACTTCATTCTCTAGCCCTCAGGTTTGTTCCCAGCAGCAGCACTTCTTTTTCAACTAATAATTTATTGTACTTTGTATTGTACTTGTGATGTCATCTGATTCCAGTCCTTGTATTGACTTGACTGCAGTAACTGTCGTACTTTCATAAAAAGGTCATAAACAGATTTCTTCTTGACAGACAAATAACACTTAAATGCAGTTTTCTGACTGATTTGTTATAGAAGGATGGCAGTCATTAAAAAAAGACATGTTAATCAGTACCAGAGAGATTTAAGAGATATGAACAGTTTCTCATACCTGTCCCACATACAGCGCTTGTTGTTTTTGTCACCACTACTGTCAGAGACAACACCTTGCCTATTGACCACAGAAGTGGGGTTTAGCTCAAATGTGCAGGAAGTTAAAGATGGAAACATTTCTGACAATGACATTTTGTGAACCGGGGACGCTCAGCTTCAACCACATGTACGCATTGTTAATATTGCACTTTGGGCGATGGCCTTATTATTGGTCCTGTTTTTCACATATTCTATACTTAAACTAAAAGAAAAACAAGAAAGAGTAGTATTGGTTAGCTTTTCAAAACAAGAAACTACAAGCAACAGAGAATGGGGGAATTAGAGGAAATATTAAATAAAGACAACATAGTAGTTGTCATAGTAGACTCTATGTTTGTCAACCATTTGAGGTTGGAAACCTTAAAGAAATCTCCCCTTGTAAAATGTTATGGCCTTTTTGTGGACATACAATTCTGTTTAAGGGGGATTTTCACCTTTAAAATTTCTCTGAATCATTTTATAAGTGAGTCTGAAGTTTTCCTTTTTTTCCTGGAAAAAAAGGCGTTTATCAAAAATATTAAAACAATTTTGGTAAAGCTGCAAATTAACTGTTTAGTATAATTTAAAATGTCAGTATAAATGGGTATTTAATCCTGGCTCTCTAATACTTACACTCAGTTTATCTACATTAGTATATATGTATTTGTATATATACATGTTTGATTTTTTGTTTTGTTTTTAAAATAAAAACATAGACAATAGACTACAGACTCTATAGGTATGATTTTTTTTTAATGTTGCATTCAGTATAAGTTCAAACCATTGATTCTGCCCATAAGTTTTTACTGAGGCATATATGATGGGGGGACCAGGGAAAGTTTTTTCATATCTATACGACCAAACATTTTTTCTTTTTGAAATCACAGAAGTTGCCCCTCGTTCTTAGAAAGAATTCAGATTTAAGGTACTTTTGAACTGCCTTCGCTTTTAATAATTTTGAGCTGTGCCCATCTTTTACTGTATGTGCAGTGTGTGATATCAGCTAACAGGTCAATAAAACAGTAGTGCATGATCATAATTTTCTTGTCAAGTCTCACAAACAGAAATTGGCAGAAAATAACACTCATTTACTACATTATGCTTGTGGAAAGGTTTGCTGTGATTTATAAGCTGGTGAGCAGTGTGCCTAGGCTCATACCATGGAATAATGAGCGCTTTTAATATGTTTAATATTTAATATTTTAAGTTTTTTTTTAACCTTCGTTACTTTTGAAATACAATAGCCACATGAAATCTTAAACACAAAAAAACACATTTAAGCTCTTATAAAAATGGCCAATCAAATCTTATTTTCACCTACTCCAAGTGTGACAATCTAAAGCCAAGATTCTTTCTTTATTTACAATAGGCTTTTTTCCCATAACTTTGAGCATCAATATAATGGGATATATATGCCTTTTAGATAGCTATATGCTGCCTCTCTGTGTTTATGGAGGTTTTCAGAGGTAAGAAGAGGTGTATTGTGCCTGTTTCTTGGGCCTCTTGAATAGACCTGAAACAACCTGGCTCCTTTCAGTTTGAAAGAGTGACTCTGCTGTGAGCCCATTTCATGTTCCTCACCCTATCTCTAAGGGAGAACT